TTACCATCAAAATTGCTGTGAAATATCTTGCAATTCACTTAGCACTAGGCTGCATTCCAACCAAATCCCCCCTCCCCGCATCCTATTTCCCCGTAACATGTCGGGGAGACTTGCGCTTGAGCCTTTATTTTCGGTTTTGGTCCACCAGCTTCAAACGGCTGTTGTTGTTGAGAATATATTTCACAGCGATTTAGATGGTACAAGGGTCCCTACATTTTTCAGTGCTTGTTTTCGCACATAAACTGAAATTGAGCGAACAGCGTAGCATTTTAGCAACCAGGAAAAGACCGAGCGATTGCCACTAGATAACACAGCCACAAAGTCAGAACAGCTTTCCCATTTTGACAACAGATGCTACTCCGGCGGGAGAAATCAATAGGCAAATATCACAGCCAATCACAACACTGGCGGGTAAGTAATACTGTGAAATATCATTCCACTATTACTGCAGATATATTATGGACATTTTCTGAAATTACAATGCAGAAATAAATCAAACATCCTATGTGTAGCACCTTTAACAGGGCCTAAAATTAACACCCCCCTCCTGCCAAATGCGGGTAGATTTTGGCATTGTCGGGTAATATATTTATTTCACCAGCCACGTTGGCGGTTGGTCAGTGCTCCACAGTGCGAGCATTTCACTCTCATTTGTGAATACAAATAGTTAAGTATGATCACATTTATACTAAAATAAATGCTGGAGTAGCTGTTTTCAAAGCATTTCCGCAGTTTTGTTTCATAGCTGGTAAATAAAATCGCACAAAGTCAAAGAACTACGAATCCTATTTAGCCTATTCCACCTTGCGCTGCAACACTGCATGGCTGGGGTCTGTGCGCACGTGAAGAGCTGAGTGAAAATATTCATTTTTAGAAGTGCTGCACACAAGCATAAAAGTTGGTCTAATTTACTTGAAACGAAAGTCTACTGAAGTGAGACTTTGTCCTTGTGTTTCTTGACTATTTACATTGTTTGGTTCACAAGCTAGGTTTTTCTATGTTTGAGTTTCAACTACCAGGGAAGAGAAGACAACGCTTCTACTAGTCAGACTCAATCTCACAGTCACAGGCACAAACACGACTCGAGTTGCGCTACCCCGGTAACCTTCCGCCCTTAAAGGCAGGTGCACATTTTTGTCTCATCTGTGATATTTTGGTTAAAAGACTCAGGTCACAAAAAATTACTAGTAATACATTTATTGTTTTAGAAACATTCTAAAGCATGTTCATCGGTTTTTTGTGTGTTTTGTTGGTGTAATTTTTGTGGGCGAAAAATATTTTGGCAGGTAAAAAATCTGAGTGGCTGGTATATTTTGAAATCTAATGGTTTTTCCTTCAAATTAAGAGCTAGACAACCAGGTGAGGGGAGTTCTTTACTAATTATTCACCTTAAATTAATCAATCAAGTACAAGGGAGGAGCGAAAACCCGCAGACACTAGGCCCTCTGTGGAATGAGTTTGACACCTGATCAATGGCAGGGTTTCCCAAACTCGGTCCTGGGGCCCCCCCTGGGTGCACGTTTAGTTTTTTGCGCCTAGCACTACACAGCAGATTCAAATAATCTAAGCTTGATGATGAGTTGGCTATTTGAATCAGCTGTGTAGTGCTAGAGGATAAACCAAAACGTGCACCCAGGGGAGGCCCCAGGACAGAGTTTGGGAAACCCTGACTAGGGGATGCTAGGCTACGTTGTATGATTCTTCCGTCTGAGTTCTCAGGTGTGACTCATTCATCTAGATTTGTGCACCTGAAAAAGCATAATGTGAGTAGGTGGCAGGGAGCAGAGGATCACACAGAAGACAGTCATTTTCTGCTCTGCTGTATTATCCCTTCCAAATCACAACCACTAGAATAGTGACTAGACCTTGAATACAAACAATAATGTCAATTAGGTTTAAACATGTGGAAGTGAGAAGAAACCCATGGGTAACCTGGATGTGGTGTGATAAATGGGACACACTGATTACAGCTGACCTCATGCACACTTATGAAACGCTCCTGCTTGGATCCAGCATCAAAGTCTCATCTACATCATGACTTGTGATGCACACACATACACTGAGCTTTTATAAGGCCATGAGTCATGACCACAATCCTCATCTGTATAAATTATGCTAAATAACTAAATTGTGAGCTATGGTAGCCCACCCATCGTTTTCTCCCTCCAGTATAGTGTACAGTGGTTAACATCACCACGACAACAGGATGAGAGACCCGGCCTAGCAGGATGCGGAGGCAGGGGAGGGGGAAATCAGTGACTACCCACAGACAGCAGAATAACTGATGATTTGTTAAAGAATGTGAGAGATAAACACAAAGCTCAGCTGTGATGATTATAGGTTAGGGAAGCATCACACTCCTAACAAAGCTATTATAATGGTATTTTTTCTAGTGTCACGTTGGATATAACTTCCATTTTAATGGATCGAAAATCACTGTTGTGTCTAGCGTCTCTGCATCTGGCTGCAGAAGAAACTTGTTAAACTTTCCCCATAGAATTCAATGTAGCATTGTCTTTCATGTGCAAATAAGCAATGCTGTGCATACCAATGACATACACAGTTCAAACCAATAAAAAGTTATGCAAAGTGTGAAGACGGAGAGGACAAAAGGGAATGTTCTCACTGCACCTGAGGTTATTTTAAGCACTGGCAGGTTGGTGCAGAGAAGAGAAGACTTCAAAAGCCCAGGGATTTACCCAGCTAGTCCTGTGGCTGAGAACACTTCTCATCTTACTACAGACAGAGACTGCATGTTAATAAGCCACACTGCCTCACGTGTTCTTCGGAGGAGAGAAGAATATCAGTGAGTCCATTAGGAAACTCAATACTCTGATCTAGTTGACTTCTTCTGCAGTCAGTCACTGCTGCGCTGCCCACCCATGGAGCTCTGCAGGCTTCACAAGCTAAAAGCACAGCACCCAAATAATAAGGGCAAACAGAACTAGCACAACTCCCCAGCAGACAGTTCAGTTAGTTATCTCCCTCAGTTAGGCTACAGTGCTAAACAAGGTTACAGTGAATGGGTCCAAACAACTGTCGCCTTGTGTCATCAAATAATCTAAATCTAAAATGACCATCTTTCCTATACAGCCAGATTCACTAGCAGTCAGACATTCACAGTAGTGTATTATTTGGTTTGGCTAAAGTAATTGAAACTCAACTGACACATATGCAAAAGGATGCTTTGAAAACAATGGAAAGTAGTCAAATGATACGTTACAGCAGCCACAGGGGAAAAAAGTGAAATGGTATGTGTAGTGCAAACAGAGTAGAGGAACAGACATGCATCAAAATGGATAAAGTATCTCTTTAAAACGGTTTGTTTCCAGATAGCAAAGAAGAGGTGACAGAACAGAATATGTCATGATTAACAATCACAAAATCATTGCTGTTCCGATATTTATTGAGTCGAGCACTGTATCATTCCCCCAGGGCATCTATCCATGGCTGGCAATCTGCAATATTTAGGGTTGGGCGGTAACTAGATTTTCATACTGTCATACGGTTTCTGTACCATACCTGGGTATACGGTATTACCGAATGTGCACACAAGGGGTGATATTTGTTTATGTACGTAAACAATTTAGGTAACAGGGATGTTGATCGAGGAGGCGATTGAATGTCTCTGCTGTAACTGGAGCCCTGAGCTGGATATAATTTATTTGGCACATCTTAGATTTCTTATATACTGAACCAAAAAATGAACGCAACATGCAACAATTTCAAATATTTTACTGAGTTACAGTTCATATAAGGAAATCAGTAAATTGAAATACATTCATTAGGCCCTAATCTATGGATTTCACATTACTAGGAATATAGATATGCATCTGCTGGTCACAGATACTTTAAAAAAAAGAAGGTACAGAAACCAGTCAATATCTGGTGTGACCACCATTTGCCTCATGCATCTCCTTCGCATAGAGTTGATCAGGCTGTTGATTGGGGTCTGTGAAATGTTTCCCACTCCTCTTCAATGGCTGTGTGAAGTTGCTGGATATTGGCGGGAACTGGAACACGCTGTCGTATGAGTCGATCCAGAGCATCCCAACCATGCTTAATGGGTTACATGTCTGGTGAATATATGCAGGCCATGGAAAACTGGGACATTTTCAGCTTCCAGGAATTGTGTACAGATCCTTGCGACATGGGGCTGTGCATTATCATGCTGAAACATGAGGTGATGGCAGTGATTAACAATCGCGACAATTTGCCTTAGGATCTAGTCACGGTATCTCTGTGCATTTAAATCGCAATTGATAAAATTCACCAGTATTCGTTGTCCGTAGCTTATGCCTGCCCATACCATAACACCACCATAGGGCACTCTGTTCACAACGTTGACATCAGCAAACCGATCGCCCACTCAAAGCTATACACGTGGTCTGCGGTTGTGAGGCCGGTTGGACGTACTGCCAAATTCTCTAAAACCACGTTGGAGGCGGCTTACGGTAGAGAAATGAACATTACAATTATTTGGCAACAGCTCTGGTGGACATTCCTGCAGTCAGCATGCCAATTGCATGCTCCCTCAAAACTTGAGACATCTGTGGCATTGTGTTGTGTGACAAAACTGCACATTTTAAAGTGGCCTTTACTTTCCCCAGCACCAGGTGCACCTGTGTAATGATCATGCTGTTTAATCAGCTTTTTGATATGCCACACCTGTCAGATGGATGGATTATCTTGACAAAGGAGAAATGCTCACTAACAGGAATGTAAACGAATTTGTGCACAAAATTTGAGAGAAATACAATTTGTGTGTGTTTAGGAACATTTCTGGGATCTTTTATTTCAGCTCATGAAACATGGGACCAACACTTTACATGTTGCGTTTATATTTTTGCTCAGTATATTTCACTCATATTGTAATTAATTATAGATCATATTTCATAGAAATCTGGAAACACTGGACAGTTACTTTAAGAAGCAATCAGCAGCCTCCACTGGACCCCATACAAACACAACACTCACAAATGTAAACATTCAATACGTACATTTGTGAGTGTTGTGTTTGTATGGGGTCCATGTAGGTGTAGGGTATATGCATGAAATGTAATGTACTCTGTGTATGTGCACTGTAGTGTGGGCCAGGTCATCCCCCATACCTGTCGTTGTGCTGACGTGGCCATCTGTATCTGGCAGAACTTCACGGCTTGGTCCAGCGCCACGTCCTCATTCACCTGTCCACAACATGCGGGAAGAGAAGAGAACAGAGACAATCAGAGCAGAGCAATACACCGTTCATACAGCCACCTTAGCACCACTGATGCTGCTCTGGGCAGCTAACAGACATAGAAAAAGACCTTTCTCAGAGTGAATGTGGCCGTGGCAATAGGAGGCGGCGGCCCTCATTAGGCCTCTCTCTGTGAAGGCTGGCTGCTCTCTATCTGTCAGACTGTAGATATGTGCCTCTGTGTGTGGGAGTCAGGAAGCTGATGCTGCGCAGGAGAAGCACACATGAAAGTAAGCCTCCATGTTCACCTCTCCCTCAGACAAGCTAGTTTATTATGTAGTGGTGTGGTGGTAAACGCTGTTTGGTTCTGCATTGACCATACACAGTAGGTGGAACCCTCTAGGTTGTAACATGCTGCTGCCACAGGAAATGGCTTGCGGAATGACTAGGGCTGTGGCGGTCATGACATTTTGTCAGCCGGTAACTGTCATGCAAATAACTGCCAGTCTCATGATCATTGACGTTAATTAACATAAACAAGTTTACCATCTCCGGGCTTCCACGCATAGCCTACAAGCCACTGATGCAGACCTTTGGAACATCAACAATTTAAAAAGTGGAATAAATCAAATTAATATAGCCTACACCATCAATAAAATAATTATTTATTTTAGGCAGGTCTAAAGAAACATTTGCCTATGATATTAAGAAAATGTAACCTATTTCAGATGAACATAATAGTCATCCTTACGTTAGGCCCTGATCTGGCTATGCCATAAGCTGTGATTTACACTAATTAATTTAGCAGACAAGATTCGCTTATAATTCCCGTGGCATTATTTAATATTATTTTATAGTACGAAGACTACAATTGAAGATAGCTGAATAAAATAGAAAGGATATTTTTCGCAAAATGCGGTTAACAAAGTGATAATTTGAAACAGGTCATCCTATATGCTTAATTTACAGTTATTTATGCAACTTTAGTTGTGATACAAACCTTAGGCTACATGTTATCATTTCTAATATATCCTAAGGCTGTATGATGTGACTAATGATGATTTGAAAAAAGTTGCATGAAAGGCATGCGCTCTGCTCTGTTTCTTGCACAGGCTGCTCGCACTTAATCAGTCTCTCATTCACAATTTGACAAGTACTTGATAATATTCTCACCCATCAGACTATTCTGAATTGAATCTGGTCTTTACATATAGCCTACTAATATGTGTGGAATTATTTTTGATTGATGTCATCCATAGCCTGCACTCAAATGGTGAATGGAGGAAGCACTTCCCACGGTTACGTTTTTAATATGCCAGGTAGGCTACACCGGTTGTAAAGCGGATTAATGTGCTTAATTGTAAGAATTGAGCAATAAATATAGCAGCACGCGAGAGCTGGAATCCTCGTTTAAATAGTGGCTTATAAGAACACGTTTCACTAGGCTCTGTGGGCTATGTGCTCTCCAACCCTGTTCCAGGGATCCTAGGCCTATAGGCTACGATTAGAGTTATTTAGCCACTTTAGTTGTGATAAAAAACATATCAAAATACACTGCTCAAAAAAATAAAAAGGGAACACTAAAATAACACATCCTAGATCTGAATGAATTAAATAATCTTATTAAATACTTTTTTCTTTACATAGTTGAATGTGCTGACAACAAAATCACACAAAAATTATCAATGGAGGTCTGGATTTGTAGTCACCCTCAAAATTAAAGTGGAAAACCACACTACAGGCTGATCCAATTTTGATGTAATGTCCTTAAAACAAGTCAAAATGAGGCTCAGTAGTGTGTGTGGCCTCCACGTGCCTGTATGACCTCCCTACAACGCCTGGGCATGCTCCTGATGAGGTGGCGGATGGTCTCCTGAGGGATCTCCTCCCAGACCTGGACTAAAGCATCCGCCAACTCCTGGACAGTCTGTGGTGCAACGTGGCATTGGTGGATGGAGCGAGACATGATGTCCCAGATGTGCTCAATTGGATTCAGGTCTGGGGAACGGGCGGGCCTGTCCATAGCATCAATGCTGACACTCTCCAGCCACATGAGGTCTAGTATTGTCTTGCATTAGGAGGAACCCAGGGCCAACCGCACCAGCATATGGTCTCACAAGGGGTCTGAGGATCTCATCTCGGTACCTAATGGCAGTCAGGCTACCTCTGGCGAGCACATGGAGGGCTGTGCGGCCCCCCCAAAGAAATGCCACCCCACACCATGACTGACCCACCGCCAAACCGGTCATGCTGGAGGATGTTGCAGGCAGCAGAACGTCTGTCACGTGCTCAGTGTGAACCTGCTTTCATCTGTGAAGAGCACAGGGCGCCAGTGGCGAATTTGCCAATCTTGGTGTTCTCTGGCAAATGCCAAACGTCCTGCACGGTGTTGGGCTGTAAGCACAACCCCCACCTGTGGACGTCGGGCCCTCATACCACCCTCATGGAGTCTGTTTCTGACCGTTTGAGCAGACACATGCACATTTGTGGCCTGCTGGAGGTCATTTTGCAGGGCTCTGGCAGTGCTCCTCCTGCTCCTCCTTGCACAAAGGCGGAGGTAGCAGTCCTGCTGCTGGGTTGTTGCCCTCCTACGGCCTCCTCCACGTCTCCTGATGTACTGGCCTGTCTCCTGGTAGCGCCTCCATGCTCTGGACACTACGCTGACAGACACAGCAAACCTTCTTGCCACAGCTCGCATTGATGTGCCATCCTGGATGAGCTGCACTACCTGAGCCACTTGAGTGGGTTGTAGACTCCGTCTCATGCTACCACTAGAGTGAAAGCACCGCCAGCATTCAAAAGTGACCAAAACATCAGCCAGGAAGCATAGGAACTGAGAAGTGGTCTGTGGTCACCACCTGCAAAACCAGTCCTTTATTGGGGGTGTCTTGCTAATTGCCTATTATTTCCACCTGTTGTCTATTCCATTTGCACAACAGCATGTGAAATGTATTGTCAATCAGTGTTGCTTCCTAAGTGGACAGTTTGATTTCACAGAAGTGTGATTGACTTGGAGTTACATTGTGTTGTTTAAGTGTTCCCTTTATTTTTTTGAGCAGTGTATATTAGGCCTATGGGCTAGGCTACATGATGCATGATTTTTTTCCAAAAACTGCATGCACAGTTTTTTTTGCCTTAGGTGGCACACGCTGGGCATCATTCACATGTGAGGATATTCTTACCCATCAGACTATTCTCAATGTAATCTTGTCTTTACATATCCTAAATATTATATGTGTGAATTTTTATTTAGAACGGGACATTATCATGCACCTGTCGGAACCGAGGCAGGGAAAAAAAAGACGTCATCCGTATGCACTTGAATAGCGAATGGAGGACGCTTTTCCCGCGGTTCATTTTCATGCCAGCCAGGTAGGCTACTCCGGTTGTGAAGCAATCTGCTTAATATTAGGAAAGATGAGAAATAAATATAGTAGACCTAGCCTATAGAAAGCTGATGGGATCCTCTTTTTAATAGAGGCCATCAAAACTTTTTCTCACGCTATTGCATAAGCTATAGAAATGTTGCGCAATATAGGCTTATAGGAACAGGTGATCCTATTCCGCTCAAACTCAATGCCAGGGCTCTCATGAAGTGTTTGACTTGATTTTCCAACCATTTGCATTGATGTCATAGTGATTAGAGGGACAATCGGGCGCTGAGTACCAGGCCATTAGCGACTGGCCGTTAGCAAGTTTGGTAGGCTACTAATGTCCATCAGTGGCATCAGAACGCAGTTTTGGAGAAGCCTAGTTACCGTGACTCAACTGTCACATGGAATTTGACTGCGGTCATGACTCGTGACTACCGGTGTGGCGGTAATACGGTCACCGTAACAGCCCTAGGAATGACTTGGCAGACCTGGGGGCCAAAGACTGGGAGGACTGCAAGAGGCAGCACTCTGAGACAGAGGTTGGTTACACTGGAGAGCTGTCATTTTGGACTTGCTTTAGAGGAAGTCCCCCTAGCTTGGTAGAGTGGAGGAGTGGGCTGTGAGAGAACTAACTTTCCTTCTTCTGAACGAGCATAACAGACCAATGAGGGCTTGCCTGGGCACAAACATGTCGGATTAGAGCTGAGCCAAAGCAAACTGTGAAACCTTTGACACAACCTGCCAACTGCTCTTGCTCTGTACTTTATATTCATGGAAGAGGAACATGGCTATTGGCTACATCACTGAACTGTAAAACAGATCCAATGACATGAAACAAAACTGCTGTGCTGCGCAAAAGCCTTTTGCAATTGTGTTAGAAGCTAACTTTTAAGAGATGGCTTGTATTTGGAAAGTAAGAAGCAAGGTGAAGAATTTGGCACTAATACTGTCATTTCGTTTCACTAAAAACATGTTAGGGAAAAGCATGTAGTGTCACTGACTCAACTGTACTAAGAAATATGTGTCAAGGGTTGCTCACTTTGTTCCAGAGATATGCAAGCCCTATTAGAGTGTGTCAGAAGGGACACTGTCATGTTACCCCTTTCCAGCCACAGGGGAAAAAACATTATTTTTCTATGTCGCAAAACATGGGAAGCAAATCTCAGCCAAAGCCTCAGCATACTTTCCAATGGTTTCAATATTATTAACTTGCGAAATAGTATCTGTCAATGTGTGTGTGTGTGCATGTGAGAGAGAGAAGTGACACTGAAAGAAGCTAAATAGGGCGAGGGGTGTAGTAGCTAGCCATCTCCCTCTCTTCAGCCTAGTAGTGGCCCCTCTGTCCTCTGTTGCCTCCCACTCCATCTCTGTGGCTTGACACATAGCCAATGTCATGCCAGGTTCCCCACGGTCAGCATTGATCACTAGATCTATGCATCTTGAGGCTGATGAGAGCTGTGCTCAAACAAGATCCTCAATGCCAGCCAACGCTATAGGAGAAGTTGGCTCAGATGCAATACAGAATGTAATTAATCCCTCTATTATTTGATCAGTTCCACTATGCAAGTGGAAGAAATTATTAAATTAAATTAACTCAACATTCAGGTTTGGGGATTTTAAAGAACTGCAATAGAAATGTCCCTTTTTGCTCAGTCTCAATCAAACTGAATCTCAAGAACTAGTAGGGTACCTACTTTATACAACAGTGTCAGTTCTAGGTAACAGAAGTCCAAACTGAATCAGAAGTTTACTTTTGGCTTCAGAGTCAGTAAGCGGGCAAGAACATGAGACTGGTTCTACACAAGCAGTGCCAGTGCACTAGAAAGGGTCCCAATCACAATGCACAAAATCATTATGCTGTCTGGACAAACCAAAGTAAATAAAAAATGCACAACCTTTACCTTTCAAACAGGCAACGGCTGTCTCAGAAAAACAGGAAACCAGTAATTTAGTCAGTGAACAATCAAGCTATGTTGTCTGCTGGAAAGACAGAAATAATAAATGAGCAATTCTCTCTGTCTGAATCCACTGAAGCCATTACCGGGCCACGTAATACATAATAAGACCTTTCATCTGAAACATTATTTTTCTTGCAATGATCAAATCCATAACTGTTGTAGAATAAGACATTTAGAATAATTGACATTTAGAATAATAAACACTTTGTACAGTTCTCTATTACGGAGGTGCCGTTCCCCTCACAGCTCCGTAGGCTAGGTCAGGATTTACAAAATGTAATGAAAACACCAATTACATTTATGATGAGATGAGTCCTAAGCTTATAATTACCTATTTTAAATGTTTTGTCATTTAGCAGGAGCAAGTAGGGTTAAGTGCCTTGCTCAAGGGCACAGACAGATTTTTTCACCTAGTCGGCTCGGGGATTCGAACCAGCGACCTTTTGGTTACTGGCCCAATGCTCTTAACCACTAGGCTGCCTGCTGCCCTTTTATGATTATACTTATGATTATGAGTTGTAAATATTAATGGTGCTATTTGTGTTAATATCTGTAGCACTGTGAAGATGATTAGGCTTGTGTGCTATTTGGTTCCTTACAACAGTATTTTACAGCAGTTGCGTGAGCAGGGAAAGTCCCCTCTCTGTGTTTCAGGTCTCTTTGCTAAATCAATCTCAAGAGGGATTTCCCAAAACCCATTTCCTTTTTCAGTGAGTATATATTACGTGTGCATGACATGGCACAGTTATAAATAAATTGTTGATGGGAGAGAGAAATGTGGCAGTAAACGTGAAGGTAAACAGGGGAGTTTGCACCAATAACTCATAAAAGTACAGCATACCTGCTTAATGAGCATGTACGTCTCTGACATGATCTTCTCAATGCGCCCCAGGTCATAGGTCATGACCTTCTGGCCCTGCTGCCACACCCGGTAGGTATCCGGCAGAAGAGTTTTGCCTGACTCCATGTCATCCAGGAGCTTCCTCTTCCTGCTGGGCCTGCATAGCGCCCCCTGGGCTAGTCCATGCTCTGCTCCGCTGGCTAACACTGGGCCCTTAGCTACCGGGCACTGGAGCTGCTGCTGGAGCTGCTGCTGTCTGGAGCTGATGCTCAGGTCCTCCAGAGAAAGCTCCGGTGCCCGGCTGCTCTCAGCCACTTTCTCCCCAGGCACCAGGACAGTTCTGGGGGGCTCAGGGTCTGGTTGGCTGCCCTGAGAGTCTGTGGTCTTGGAGGGATGCCCCCAGTGGCCAGCGTCCAGCTCCATGGGCTCCTCTGGCCCTGCTCTGGCCCCCTCGCCCACAGCAGCCTCCACCTTCCCAGATGGAGTTCTCTGCTGCTGCTCCCCCCTGTCTCTGGCTGTGGCCAGCAGGGCTGGCTGTGTCTGAGGGGTTTCCCGGGACACAGAGTCAGAGCCTGGGGCAGTGACCTGGGGACCCTCAGTGAGCTCAGGCTTCTTATGCAGTGCATGACTGCTGTCCTCTGCACTGGGCCTGTTGGACGTGTCCGTGGTCGTCATTTCCCCCATGGAGGGCGCAGGCACTTTGGAAGGCTGCTCCGACACCTGAGAAAGAACAGAGCCTGTCACAACACAAGCAAGAGCTCGGCAAAATTATAAATCCTACAAACTACAGAGCTGCTTTCAGCTCCTCTCCAAGTGTGTAGAGTGCTTTGGTTGCGTACCCTTGTGAGTTTGTTCCGATTGTCCTCCAGAACTTTTACAACTAGGAAAAATGCTCTCTGGGCCAAAACCTGACAATCCACATCCTGCAAAATACTTCCTTTAAGACATGAGAGTGAGAGAGAGAAGGGAAAGAGAAGAGTTGAACAAATTCACACAAAAACACTAGAACAAATGGTTGCCATGAAAAACTGAGAGAACCATGGTTGAGTCATGAGAGATCCTTACTTTCCCTGGTCAGGGGTTCTCTGGAGCATAAAAGAGACTTTGATCAGTGTGTCGTGGTCCTTCAGCTGAGACAGCACCTCCAGCAAGAGGACGATGGATCGGTTCATATGAGATGCAAAACTGCCGGCGCGATCAATCTCATCCACTGGAATACGCCAGATGCCCTGAAGCAGGAAGGAGGAGAAGAATAGGGGGAGGAAAAGGAGGAGGAGAAGAGGCAACAGTTCACTAACACTGCACACATAGCTTCATCAACTAAATACTGTTTGGTATTTGCGTGCCATGGAGACAGGCTTATGTATGACCTCACTGGTCAGGCTAACTAGAGTTATGTTTCAAAACATATTTTCCACTAACACACTCACAAGGCCAACATATCCCTGACATGATCTTCTCAATGTGCTCCACTGGTGGGTTTTCAGTTTTCAATTAAAAAGGGAAAACACTCAACTAAAAATTCTGAGTGAATGTACCTGATATTTTTGGTACATACATGGTGATTTATTTTACACAGACTGATAGTGAAGGAGGGCAAGAGAAAGGGAGAGAGGACACGAGAGGGATAAAGAAGTGTGACAGGGTATTGTTTAAGGCAATATATTAACCAAACCTCTCCATGTATGAGCATATCTGCAGTGCAAGTCAAGATAACCAATTAATGCTGGTGAGAAAAAATGGCAACAGCTAAATGCGTGCTCGTTTTACTCACGCAACACAGAGAACACTGATCATGTGCATGGGTCCTTTGCTAAATAAACACTTATTTTTTAACATACAGAATTATGAAGCAAAAATTCTGGCCGGCTGGCAGAGGACCATGTTTAAATATCCCTTAGGACCAGAGGTGAAAGTAAGGCGGTACGGTCCGGTGTCCCGGAAAAATAAATAGTGGGGGTACGCCATACTGGTAAAACATGAGCCTATTACAATAATTAAAACAAAATGTCAATAAAACTGTAGGCTATTACACCACTAATTATCATTACCGCATGAACGAGGCATGAAAAATGTGCGAATGGACTTGAAAACAGGTGGTATAGCCTACAAAATGCGATGTGGTTTGACGAGAACACTGACATTTTGCAAAGGCAGAGATGAGTGGCCGAGACACGCGCGGAAACATACATTCTGGACTAATGACAATCTCCAAATGGCATTACACTTTTTAGTATTTTGTGTAACAGAGGTCTCTTTCAATTCACCACTGTTCGGAGGCTGGAAATGCGAGTAGCTGAACGTGCGTGGGTAGCCTAGTAAAGGAGCCCTTTGAAATGATTGTTTGACAAGCGCATGCACACATAGGAGGTCCTGTACCGGGAATAAATTAATTATACTTTCACCCCTGCTAAGGTCTATAGGTAATGGCATGCACAAACCTGAATAAACTCTGGGTTGAGGTGTTATTACAGAGAATCAACAGGTTATTTCATGTAATCATTGGACACGGGCTGGAGGACAGGCTAAATGGAATATTTTGTGCTGCACATCCACCTGAGACGTACCCCACACCAGTGTGTCGCCAGTGTTTTATGTTCATGTAGCCATAGTGTAATTAGTGTTTCCACATCAGGAGTGTGACACTAAAGACTTGGAGTGAGCAGAATCTACAACCTCTGCATCATCAAGACAGTTACTTTGTGAGAAGGTGTTCAAATTCACAGTTAGCCATTGTTATGTAAATGAAAGCTGAAAAGTACCAGTGCCTTGCCTTGGCCCCACATCAGAGCAGGTCCGCTGGAGCCATGGCCCAGTGAGACACAGCTGCCAGTGGTGTACATCTCAAATGGAAATTCCCCACAGTATTTATTTATGTGTGTATGTAGCATGTGCACAGCTGCATGCTACTGCAAGCTCCTCCAGGCACTGGGCTGCTAATAGGGCTGACATCAGGAAACAATTAACAGGAAGATATGGACAAACCCGCAGGAAAGAAAGAGAAAAAGGAGGTGAAAAGAAGGCAAGAGGAATTAATTTGCGCTAAAACTGTGGAATTGGAAGATGGGAGCCCTAATGACAAAATGGAAAGAGTTGCTGTAGGGAGAAACAGTGCCTGCAGAGTGGAGGTGGGGGTGGACTGGGGGCTGACTTCAGGCAGGCATGTCAGATCCTGCCCCAGGCAGGCAGCCTCATTACCGGTGTGTTCTGTCTGGGTTCAGGTTGGTTCAGGGAACCACAGAGAGCAGCAGCACATCAAACACACATTGTCTTTTTAATTTCAATATCTCTGAAGGATTGGTAGGTCTTCAGATCATTACGAGTATCACAGGAAACGATCAATCATGTGACAGCATATGTTAAGTGTTGTTATGTGACGACCAAGCAGGTGTGTACAGGCAAGGTTCGGTGCTCCACAGCAGAGCAGACCATGTTAGCTGAGCGCAGATGATGGTCCATTTGCAATTTTAAAAAACACTTGGCAGTGAGCAGCTTATGGACTTAGAAGTGTATGCGAATCGGAGGAGAAGCTGGGCATATCATGATGGAACAAAACAAATGGTATGCCTCCACAGAAGCAACTGGCCCGCCCCTACACCTGGGAGCCTCTTCCTCATCCTACCAAACAGGTCCACATTGTCTGTTGACATTTTCACAGCCTTTTCGAGAGAAGCCAAGCAGGAAACAGAACAGACCTATGAAATCTAATTGCATTCCTGAGTCTGCCTCATGCAGTCAAGAGGCAAAAGCCATTTATCAATATTAATGAACATCCTTCAATAATGATCAGGACAATCCTGAAGAAATAGGACAGGCGATGTGATGTGATCCATCCATCCAGCAGAGCTCTGATCTACAGCTACACTACATGACCAAAAGTATGTGGACACCCCTTCAGATCTAAAGGGGGGGGGGGGGGATCCTCCATGGGCACAGTAAATCTGTTTAGGCAGATGTGAAGCCATGGCTTTGCACAGATTACATTGTAGCACAACAGATAAAGCAGATTTACATGACTTTACCAATGATTTTGATCTTTTTTTGGGGGGGGGGGGTGAGGGAAAATGTGAGCTTTGGCTTGGAACATAAAGTTAATGTGTCACTCAGGCATCAAGAGTTGGGGAGAATTTCAAGTTTGAGAAAAATATCCATCTTAAAATAATGTATTTTTCCTATAGATTTCTTCTTAAAATGTGACCGTTTCAGGAAGCATTAGATTTTTATTTTATTTTTGAAAATAAAAATGTGTTTTTGGGCAGAAATGCCTTCTGGAACAGGTGAACTTTCATGCGACTTAAAAACAAACTTGTATGCCATCTGTAAATACGAATAATATTGTTAAATTATGAGCCTAGTTGGTTTAGCCACAGCAAAAGACAGGAACCTTTCTGCTAGCCATGATTGGCTGAGATAATGGTTGGGCTGGACATGCTGAGAGATGAGTTGAGATTGGTCTGCCATGTAGCATGCTTCTGTCTATAACATGAGCTGCTCAGTATGTGTAGATAATCCTTGCTACCGCAGCTTTTTTGAAAGATATAACGTTAGCCATGGAGAACTACAAAACTGTTGCTACTGCTCTCAACAACATTGCTGCCCTGATTTTAGCAGGTGCTATCGACAAAGATCAGTGGGAAAAAGTTGTGACAGACTACTTTCTGCACACGGTCAGTGTGAACACGAGTGACTTGAAACAACGTGGGCCAAACAAGCTGTACAAGCAAAATGGAGTTAAAGGGGTTCCAGTCTGCCATGAAGCATTCATCCATGTATAGGGGTAAGAGTCTAGCTACATTTTCAGATATTAAGCATTTCTAATTTTGTCAGAAAGTTGTTTTCATTGCAAGTTAAAGCATACTGTTAGCTAGCTAGTGAACGTTAGCTTGCTGGCTTGCTAGCTAACTTTGCGTGTATGATCTGTGTAGTAATATTATTTGTATATCAGTAATCCATTTGTATTGCTAGTTATAGCCTAATGTTAGCTAGCTTGCTAACATTGAACCTAGTTGGTTAGCTTTAGCTACCTGTAGATTCATACTACAGCATTTCATGCATGGTGGCTAGCTATGACAATCCATTTGTATTGCTAGTAGTATGGGTTGGGATTATGCCTGGTTCATTGTTTAGCTAGCTTTTGTCTTAACAAAAGACTCCACTTCGCCAGATGATTACATGACCCATCAAGTTAACCAGGTTTGTCTGGGGGTGATTATGGCCATCTATTGTATTTCATGAACATGTGTACATGTCTAGACAATAGTGACCCATCCACTTAGCTAGGTGTGGCTGTGGGGTGGCTATAGCGTTTCTTTCACATGACCCATTAATTTAGACAAGTGTGTCTGGGTAAGCATCATCTAATAATTATACAATATTTTTATCTGGACACTTAGTTTTTCTATTGCAACTATGCAAATAACCAATTCACTGTTCTGTATCCTCTGCATGTGACAAATAAACGTAGATTTGATATAGTGTGTTTACCAGAGAAGGTAATGTGAAGAACAACATGATCTGCACCAAAGTCAGATTAGAATATAGTCCAAGGACTAAATAAAGTGTATTTTTACCTGGAGTTTTTCCTTATTGTAGGCTACTACTTTCACCACTTTTAGTCTTGAAATCTTTTGTTGTTTACTACAATACATAACTCACTCTGTTTAGCACATGGCCTCACATGGTTAAGGCTTAAGAGGGTGTGAACTAGGGCTGTCCCCAACCCCCAAAAATCTTGGTAGACCGAAAGTCGTCTGTTCCTTCGACCAACCGATTGGTCGAAATTTTTAAACGTGTATTTTTCCATACATAGACACACCCTATGTGTTTTAATAAAATCAACTATATGCATTGAGCTTGTCTGATGCTTACTGTTTGTTGAAATAAGACACAAATGACTCAAGAGGGAGCCAGAGATCAACATAACCATTAGAAGAAAAAAACTTCACCTGACCTAACCATTCTCCTCCCGCTCCTGCTGGCTTTCGCAGATTCTGCCATTACTCTCCTGAAGTTGCTGGTAGTAGGCTACAAGAGGAGTCAGCAACCTTTCTCATGTGGAATGCCAATTTATCTTACAATTTCTACCGATCTGCGTGCCAGTTATGGTTTTCATATGCACATTTTCGTGGAATAGTTTCATTTCATTTATAATAACGTCTTCATATCTCAAAATCATTGTCATATGGTTAATCAAAATCTACCCAAATCTAAATGAAAATGATCAATCTAA